CCCCCCCCGCGCGGCCCCGCCCCGCCCCGCAGCGGCCGGAGCTGTACGTGGTAGCCGAGCGCGGCGGCCGCGCCGGGCGCGGGGTCCCAGCTCACGCGGAGGCTGCGCGGCCTGGCGTGCGAGATGACGATGCGCTCCGGCCCCGCCCCCCGTGCCCCGCCCGGGTCCCCCGGCCCCCTCACCTGGCAGCGTGTGCACTCGCAGGTGCAAGGGCCGCAGAAGGCGCTCGTTGGACTCGGGCACCAGCGCCACGTCGTAGTCCGTGTCCGGATCGAGGCCGGCCCAGGTCCAGTTTGTGGCGTTCCCCGGAAGCTGCTGGTGTCTCACGGCCCCCTGTTTGGTGCTGGGCACGAGCTCCAGTACGTAGTAGCCCGAGTTGGTGGTCAGCAGGGGCGGCCAGGCCAGGTGGATGCTGCTGGAGGTGATCTCGTAGGCACGGAGCTGCTGCATGGCCTCTGCGGGTGGAGGGGGAGCTCGGTCACCTCTCTTGCACCAGCTGATCCAGGGAAGACCCCGAGATTGGAGGCCCCAGTAGGACAGGCGAGGGCCACGGGACCAGGGCGATTCAAGAGCCTGGCCGGCCTCTGCCACACCCAGCAGATGCTAATGACATGCAGAACAGTGACCGGGCTGGGGGAAGAACAGAAGAAGGGGTGCAGTGCCCCCCACACCCAGCCCCATCAGGGGCTTCCCTGCAGGCCCCAGCCCCAAACCCAGACCTTTGTTGGGAGGGATAGTGACCACTCCCCACCCAGACCAGTGGCCTGGCAAAGGTCCCTCAAAGGTGGCAGGGCCACATGGTGTCTGAGAACAGAGGACCAGCTCCCCAGCCCAAGAGGCCAGCACAGAGCACTGGGGTCAGCCAGACTCTGGACAGTAAAGGCAAAGGAGGACCCAAGGGTGCAGGAGGAGGTGAGAGACCACAGGGGGAGGCCCCAAGGGCAGTGGATGCCTGACAGACAACTCCTGGAGCAGCTGGACCTGGGGTTCAGCAGGTGCTGTCTGCCTCAGGTCCCCAGGAGAGCATGGTTTGGGGGACTCCAGGGTGGGACCCTGAGCTTGTGACACCAAAAACCACATGGCCATCTGAGTGACCATGCAGGCTCATAAATGTACAGACATGGTGAAGCCCCTTGGTAACGTTCAGCGCCCGGGGTTGCCTGCCAGCCACTCACTTTCCTGCCCAACACCTGAATTCAGAACCTGCCACCAGTCCCAGGAACCTCCACCCGCTACTGCCTAACTCCTCCGCCCTGCAGCCAGTCCAGCTGCTTAAGGCAGCTCCAGGCTTCTGTCCCCTCCCAGCTTGGTTGGTTGACCCAGGGGTCACCAGGAGTCAGATGTCCCTGGGGGAAACTTGGGGTGGACGCTCCACCCTCTCCAGCCCACAGTCCAGCCCCTTCTGGCTCAGGGTGGATGATTAACCGACAGGCGGATACTTGGTAAGAACCCTGGGGTTAGTGGCATTTCACTGGCCACAGCACACTGCACCAGCAACCAGGCCCTCCATCTCCAGTCCCTCCCCCTTCAGTGCTTGGCTGCTGCAGGGGGAGCTCCAGAAAGGAGCTGGTGGGGTGCTGCTCAGCTCTGCAGCAGGCTTTCCCTGGTCCAGCTCCTCCTCGGCAATCCCCACAGCTGGCCTGCAGTGCGACCCGGCTCAAACCCCTCAGTGGCTGTCCTCACCCAGGATAGGTAGGGCCCAAGCTCTGTGGGAGGCAGTCCCTGACCTTTCTGGCTCTCCCCTCTCCAGGCGTGGTGGGTGTGGCCAGCCAGCCGGCCCCTGGACATGCACAGAAGCACATGCTGCCCATCTGCACAGTCCCCAGACTTGGAACCTCCTTCCTCATCCTTTCCATTTGGCCACGTCCCACCAGCTGTAGCCCCCTGGTCCCTTGGTCCACAGCAAGCTCCCCGCTCTGTGGGCCTCCAGGCCAGCAGGGAGCTTCCCTTGGAGGTGCTTACCCAGGCCTGCCCCTCTATCTCTCCAGTTTCTCTCCACAGCCCAGGTAGTGGGCACATTGGATGGTGCAGAGCAGCTACATCACCCGCCTCCCCACTGCACCCTCAGGGCACCAGAGGACCTGTGGCCCTGGCCCCTGCTCTGGGCCCAGCCTCTCCTGCGGCTCCCAGATAGGGCTCCACTGGAGCCCTGCCTCCTCCCACCTACCGAGAATGGAGCCCCTCAGCTCTTGGGTGATGATGTGCAGGTCATCCACATCCACAAAGTGCAGGTGCTTCTCAGCAGGGGCCGAGGCGGCGTCCGACAGCTCCAGGAGGTTGCCACGGCCCGTGCTGACAATGAAGACAGTGACGCCCAAGTCCTTGAGTTCCTGCATGGGAGGCCCCACGGGGTCGCTGGAGCCTCCATCTGTGACCCACACCAGCACCTTGGGCACCGCTGGCCGGGCACCCACCGCCTCAGCAAACAGCTGCTCCTTGGCATATGCAAGTGCCAGGCCGGTGTTAGTGTCACCCATGCGCTGGGTCGCAGTGCGTATGGCATCCTGGACAGCCTCACCTGAGCTGTGCTGGTTGAAGGGGAACTCGGTGTATGGGCGGCTGCCCACATGCACTAGGCTGGCACGCAAGGCCCTGGGGCCCAGGGGCAGCGATGCTGCCAGCTGCCCCACAAACTCCCGAACCCGGGAGAACTCGTAGTGAGACACACTGGCTGAGCTGTCCAGCAGGAAAAGCAAGTCACCCTGAGGGGCTGACACTGGGAGGCCTGGGGAAAAGGAGGAGGGTTCAGCCCCAGGTAGTGGCCGTCCAGACAGCCGCATGCCCAGGACATAACCCCTGAGGGCCTGGGCTTTCCTTAAGTGGGTGCTTGCCCTTGCCCAAAGGGCCTGGGGGTGGCACCCCAGGTGTCGGGGGGAGAGGGGTTCTGAGCCACACCAGAGGCCCATAACCTCGGTGGGTTCCTGCTCTGCACACGGGCCATATGACCGAGTGTATTCTGGGCTTGTGTCCCATCTGTAAAGGAGAGCCGACCCCTCCAAACCCCAACACCCTCCTTTCTTCAGCAGACACTGCAGGCGGGTGGAGCCAAGGGCCTGGCCTAGGCCCCAGAGTGCTGCGAGCCAGGGGGCTGCTCCCTTCAGGTCTAGCTTTCAGAGCGGCAGCCTGGAGGCTGGTGTTCAGCCACCAGGTGAGGCAGCCGCCCTGGGCAGCACACTGCAGAGGGGAGGGGAGGCACAGACGGAGGGACGGGGGAGGCAGAGCACTGAACAGGGCTCCCCTGGCCCAAATGGCCGGGCTGGAGTCGTGACCCCACTTACGGATGATGTCACCCCTTCCCTGGCCCCCATCCCCTGCTCCATCTGGACCCAGAGAGCAGGACACACACCCCAGCAGCCCGAGGGCCCGACCAGCCCCTCGCGGGTCCCAGGTTTTCCTGTACCCCACCCGCGGGGGGTTGGGGGCAGATGCGCCCCTCCTCCACCGAGCCATGGGCGGGGGTGGGGGGTGTGCTAAGGATGTCTCGGTTCTGATCCCAGCCCCGTGGTTTCCCCGATGCAAAGTGGTGACTCCAACCTTCCCACCATCCCTCTACTAAGGGTTATTTCGAGGGTAGGGAAACTGAGGCAGGGGCGGCCTCCCCGTCCAGGACTCACGATGCCGCGGAGCCGCCCGGAGCACCTGGGCCCGTCCGCGCAGGTGAGTGGGGCGCCCCTCCCGCGCGCCGCTCGGGTCCCGCAGCCTCCCGGTGCACCCG